CATAAACCAATTAAAATGATATATATATATATATATATATAAAGGGCTCGTTTGATAATTAATTGTTTTAAGTAATTTTTTTTTAGAAGACATTAAATGTTTGTGAATAAATTTAATTTTTTTTATTTAATACAAAAACATACCTTTTTTATTTATTTATTTTTTGTATTTAGTGAGTTTTTATAGAATTTTTCACAAATATTTTACTTTTTAAGTTCATCTAAAAGATGTTGAAAAAGTTTTAAAAAATAAAAATAATTAAAATTGTGGGGATATATTTTCTGAAGTACCGACATGTGGCATGGTGACGCCGACGTGTCAGCCGAGGTGCCACATGTCGTGGTAGTTGTGCCGAGGTTATCTTGGCGAGGCCGAGGTTATCTCCGAAGATATCGGAATCCGAGATAAGCGGATAAGGGACAAGAGTCTTAGAGTAAAGAGAAGACTTTGCTAAAGATAAGGATAAAACTCTTAGGGAGTTTATCTTTATCTCTTGAGGAATCCAAAGTAAGCACTGAATTGGAGTCCATAGAAGTTAGGCTTCTAGTGGGACTAGGATTGAGTTAACTATAAAAGAGAGGCACGCCCGTGGGTCTAAGGTATGCAGTTTTATACTCAAGCTTGTGAGTTTAGCACTTGATTATCTTTGAGAGATATACTAACTTGATCGTCGGAGTGCCCCTGGGTGGAAGAGCCACCGCCGGAGCCTTGTCTTTCTGTTACAGGTATGTTGAAGCCATCTATTCTGCCGGTGCTCTCCAGCTGATTACTAGGCGGGCAGTGTGGTCGAAAAATCACCCACACAATTTGGCGCCGTCTGTGGGAACTTAGAAGAATAGATGGCCAGTGACGAACAGAGGGAAAATATTGGGGGCAACAATCCTGCTGGGAATGGCAGACCAATTGATCTTGACGTTGAAGGAGACAACCACAACACGAAAATTCATGGCTAGGGCCACGGAGAGAAAGACGTCGGCCAGGAGAACGACGCTTCGAAGAGGACAGACCAAAGCAAGTATTATAACGAAGATGACCTTCAGGTATGGAGGGATAGGTGCCTACGAAAGGATGAGGAAGTAAAAGACTTGGCAAACAAGCTGGTAGACCTTCAGTCGGTCGTCAACTTCATGATACAGAATAATGTTATGCAGCCACCATACCCGCTGCAAGATACGCCGATGCCAGCAACTAATACCCAGAAGGGAGGAAGGAAAGCAATCCCCGAAGCCCCTCAGCACACCAGGAGTGGAAGGCACTCTCACCGACCTTCCAGGGAAGCCGAACGAGAGGAGCCAAGGCAAGAAGAGTCCCGAAGGACACATCACATGAAGGATCCAGGGCCCAAAGAACATCGGCATGTTCAAGGGCAATCACTCCGCTTTGACACAACACATGAAGAGAGATCAAAACGAGCCCACCACGAGGTTGAAAGTAGTGTGCCGAAAAGATTGAAATCAAAAGATAGCCGAGCTCCAGGAAGGAGTAAAGAAGACTTGAGAGATTACCTCAAGAGGAGGCAACATAATGTTGAAGCCGAGGTAACTTCAGCAGTTAAGCCGAGGACACCATTCTCGGTGGAACTGGACGAATTTGAAGCGCCAAAGAGATTCAGTATGTCGAGGTTCCAAATTTATGATGGTAAGTCAGATCCCAACTTTCATGTTGGACTGTACCTAAATTCAATGGCATTATATAGTGGGAATGAGCCGTTACTCTGCAAAGTATTCCCCTCATCTTTTGGGGAAATTGCATCCGATTGGTTCCATAAACTACCGAAGGGAAGCGTAAAAATGTGGGAAGGCCTGGCCGAGATGTTTGTAGCCAGGTTTGTGACGAACAAACTACAGCCCTTGAGGGTCGACGCCCTGATGGCTTTAAGAATCACCAAGGAAGAAGGCCTTAGGGCCTACGTGAAGAGGTACTACGAGGTGTTCAATCGAATACCCGAATGCAACCAAGAAGTGGCGGTCGTATCTTTCAAGAACGGCCTGAAAGATGACTGCCCACTGCGGAAGTCTTTGGCAAAAACATTGCCAAAAAGCATGGAAGAACTCATGGCGAGAATCGAGAAGTACGCTAAAGCCGAGGAAGATACATCGAGAAACAAAGAGATAAAGCAGGAGAAGGGAAACGGCTCGCCGAAGCGAGGCCGAGGTAACAACGGGCCGATCAAACAAGAAACGGAATCGAAAGGTAAACAGGCAGTGACGACGGTGTTCCGAATCCCTATCCATAAAGTCCTGGATCAAATACGAAACCAACCCTATTTCAGGGCACCGGCAGGAGCACCAGGGGAATTTATGGGAAGAAACGTTGGTAGGCGCTGTGCCTACCACAATGAAGAAGGACACCCAACTCAGGTTTGCAGAGCCCTAAAAGCACACTTAGAAGACTTGGTAAGGTAAGGCCATCTGAGGGACCTTGTTGATGAGGCCAGGACAAGAGAAGAACAGGCAAGATTGCCTCAAGCACCTGCAGCTCCGCCTTGATGAAGCCATGACAAGAGAAGAACAGGCAAGATTGCCTTAAGCACTTGTAGCTCCGCCTCCCCCAGCACAGCAACCACAGGCAGGAGGACCACGGGTGGTTAATGTCATCCACTCAAAGGTGAACGAAAACAACATTCGGAGAGAAACCCAAAGAGTAAAACACCTGCAGCACGTAAACCAGGTCGTATACAAAAGACCTCGGCCTAAAGAATGCCAAGGACCGATGATAACTTTCACTGAAGCCGACCTAGAGATGGTCCAGCATCCGCATAATGATGCCTTGGTAGTATCCCTCCAGGTTGGGGAGTGCCAAGTAAAACACATCCTAATAGATCAAGGCAGCTCTTGTGACATCATGTACGTCAGATGTTACAAGGAGCTGGGCCTTCATCCTGACGACCTGGAACAATCCAGTAACCCTATGGTCGGCTTCAATGGAACGCCGGCATGGCCACTGGGCGTAGCAAGCGTGGAAGTACAAGCTGGTACTAAGAAGATGAAGACAAAATTTATGGTGATTGACACACCCTCGCCATATAACATCATCTTGGGAAGACCATGGTTGCATGTAATGGGAGTAGTTCCCTCAACATTGCATCAACTACTACGGTTCCCAACAGAACATGGGATTGAAGAAATCATCCATAGCAGCAATGAAGTCTACTTGCAGCATTCGAGGGCCAAAGGAGGCAGAGATTGAAGACGAAGACGTGGAAGTCCTAGATGATGTCGACAAGGAGCCAACCGAAAAGAGTGAAGAGACACTAAAGAAAATCCTCGTCCAGGAGGGCGACGAAGAGCGCTTCTTTCTTTTCGGCTCTGGCTTAGCCGAAGAAGAGGAAAGGGAACTGGAAGATTTTTTTGAGAACGAACATAGAGGTGTTCGCCTGGACACCTTTCGAAATGCCTGGCATTGACCCCGAGGTCACTTGCCACGGACTGAATGTCAACAGGTCAGCAAAACCTGTGATTCAACGAGCCAGAAGACCGACGTTGATGCACGTCGAAGCAGTAGAAGAAGAAGTAGACAGACTTCTGGAGGCCAGGGCCATCCGAGAAGTTCATTACCCGACATGGCTATCCAACACAGTAGTGGTGAAGATAAAGAGGGCAAAACACTGCCAAGACCTTGGAACACTTGTAATTTAAAATTCTTCTATCATTAGATGTGTAGTATTTTTGGCCGATGTCATCAATCAAATCTTTTCCCTTTTTCTTTAAAACGCGTATGATTGATAAAGTTACATATTGGTGTTTTTGAGACATGAATAATGAGAACCCAAGTAGAACTCAGGTTCACATTGGAGGCAGAGAGAAGACAGAGACACTTAATTCACTTGTTGAAATTTGTAGCAATTTACAAGTTGGAGTTAAGCTGATTCCTTCTCTTCACTTGTTGAAATTTGTAGCAATTTACAAGTTGAAGTTAAGCCCGAGATTATTCCTTAATTCACTTGTTGAAATTTGTAGCAATTTACAAGTTGGAGTTAAGCCGATTCCTTATCTTCACTTGTTGAAATTTATTTACAAGTTGGAGTTAAGCCGATTCCTTATCTTCACTTGTTGAAATTTGTAGCAATTTACAAGTTGAAGTTAAACCGAGATTACTGTTTCTCTTCACTTGTTGAAATTTGTAGCAATTTACAAGTCGAAGTGAAGCCGATGTTATAGTTTGCACATTTGCAGCAATCTACAGAGAAGATGCTTAACACTTGTTGAAATTTGTAGCAATTTACAAGATAATGTTAAGCCGACATGTGATCATCTGTTGAAATTTGCAACAATTTACAGGTTGAGGTAAAAGCTAAGGCCATGTTTGTTTGGGCGGACTGGATTAGCATTCCCATGACTAATAGTCCTAGGACTACAAATCCGTTGGATTATGTATCCTATCTTAACTAATAGTCAAGTTTAAAATAATTAGAGCGTACTTCAATTGTTTAACCAAACATCGGATTAATAATTTTATTGGACTATTAGTCCAATCCCAAGCTCATGTCCACCCAAACAAACATGGCCTAAGTATATTGTTTAAACACTTGTTGAAATTTGTAGCAATTTACAAGTAGATCATTGTTATATGAGAAAAAATTACAGTATATGTTAACACTTGTTGAAATTTGTAGCAATTTACAAGTAGGTTAGACCGAGATCACTGTTTAAATACTCGTTGAAACTTGAGAAAAAGTTTGCAAAAGTTAAACATCGAGTAGTATATGTTTCATACTTGTTAAAATTTATGAAAAGTTTGCAGGTCAGTATCTTGCCGAAGTAAAATTTTTGTAGTTATTATACCTGAGGTATGTAACCCCGAGAAGATTGCACAAGGAAGGAAGAAGTATGTAAAGCATGCAAAATATTCTAAGTATAGAAACCATGCAGAAGCAATCAAGAGAAATTGAATATTAAAGCGTTCAACAAAAACAGGAGGAACATCGGCCATGTAAAGAAGCTTACATTGTCCAAGAAAACAAAACAAAGTACAAGGGTGCAAAAGAAAAAACATGAAAGTTAAGACTTTTCAACATCAGCATCTGGCTGGATCTGAACCTCAGAAGTCTCCTGAAGAGATACCTCGGCTTCCTCATCTGCAGCAATCTCGGCATCAATTTCGGCAAGTGTTTGATCAAGACTTTTATCAACTGGAGGAACATCAGATGATGCTTGCTCAGGAGTGGTCTCCTTGATAACATCCTCATCCTCCTCATGAGTCAAGTCAAGGACTTGCTCATTCTAAGGAGGGGACTTAGCCCCATTAGCATCCTTTGATTTTCTGACCAAAGCCTCATCCTCTTCCTCATCGGCATCTTCAGACTCAGATTCAAATTCTCCTTCGGGTTGACTTGATGGAGGAGGTGGGGGGAATGACAGAGGAATAGCATCGGCTTTACGCAGTGGCGAATCATCAAGAATGTTAAGCTTTTTGGCAAGGGACATCCAACCAAGGGAAAAGCCCCTGTTGCATGCCTGCCTGACTTGTAGTTTGTATTCTCTTGTAACGTCAGCCATTCCTTGAGCATAGGCCTTTTCATCGGCCGCCTTGATTTCAGCGTCTTTAGTAGATAAAGCATCTTGAAGTTCTTTTTTCGCTTGGGCCTTTTTGTCCTCGTCCTCTCTCTTTTCAGCCTCAGCGATCTTTCTAATAGCCTCGGCAGATTCGGCCTTTTCCTCGGCAAGGGTTTGGGCTTTGGTGGCAGCCTCAGCCTGGTCTTCCAGTTTTTTTATCTTTAATTGAAGAGATTTGTTTTCCTTTTTAAGGGCAGAAACCTCTCTCTTCAGATCGACCAACTTTGCTCTGTTTTCAAAAGCTTGCGTTGAAAACGAATGGGCATGCTGGATGGCCTGAAAGAAAACAGAAGTGTTAGAAAATATTTTAAGTATGAAACAGAAAGAAAGTAGAAAATTCCAAACAGGAACACTTACTTGAACGGAGTGCTGGAGCATTAAAGCATAATTCTCGTACTCACTATACTCAGCATTTCGCTCGAGGTCACCCGGAAGAAGCAACGCCGTGCTGAGGGCAACGCCGACATTTATGTCGTCGGCGTTTTCACTGGACATAATTGGCCTGTCTTCCAAAGTAATTTTGAGAGCCCAAGGGACATCCGGTTTCTTGGACCTCGAGGTAGTAGCTGAGGCCGACCTTGGCTTCTTTGACTGTGTGGACCCAGATGGTGGGTTTTCAGCAGACCTTTTTGCAGGAGCAGAAGAAGTCTTCTTACTCTCAGCCAGTTTGCAAATAGGTAAAGCGTCCTCAGATTCAACCTGAGTCACTTTAGCCTTCGGCTGAGCCCTTTTTGTTCTTTTTGGCTTTGGTGGGGGCATGGATTGGGTTGGAACAGCATCAACGTCGGGAGATAGGTCGGCTAAGAGATCTACAGCAACAGGCTTCGGGCGACCCATCTCAGCAGTTTTGATAAGTCGTCGCCGACGTTTTCTTTCTGGTATTGGGATTAAGTATGGGGCCGAGGTAGATGGTTGATTGGTTGGGTCAGATGTTGACTCTTGATCTGTTCGTGATGAAGAGGCGGTTTGAGTTGTGGCAGTAGAAAGAGAAAGGCTTTTCTTCTTTCGTTTGGTAACGTCAGGCAAAGTCGACTTGTACGTCGGAATAAAATTCAGTACTAGTGGAGCCTTGCGCTTTTGGATTGGCAAATCTAGGAGCCTCTTTAAGTCTTTCCTGGGAACGTAGGATTGGTGAAAGTCTTTTTGTAACTTACGAACGTCTGCAAGAAGAAACAAACATTAGAAACAGATAAAATATTGAAGACTTGGACAGAAACAACTAAAGTATTGATACTGGGCTCTTACCCTTGCCCTCTTTAATTGATCGGGGAAGAGGGTAGAGATGGGCGTCCTCGTCTGCGCCAAACTCCCAATTTTCCGAAGCAATAACATAGTCATCTCCAGCCCCCTTGTTGGAGTCTGGGAGGTCGGCTACGATTTTGTATTCTGTCGACCTCGGCTTAAGATAATAAACGAAGCCTTTTTCCTTCAGGCTAAGGGGGCACATGGTATAACAGTACTGAATGTCGGCCAGGGTGATCCTAGCGTTCTCCTGCCTAGCTAAAGCTATGATGCCATTGATCACTCGATAAGAGTTTACGGCAAGTTGCATAGGGTTCAACTTGTAAAAGTGAAGAATTTCGCAAAAGAGAATGTTAAGTGGGAGCCGGAGTCTGCACTCAGTAAAAGCTACTATAGGAAACGACATTGAATCTTTTGTGGGCATGATAGAGTCATTATCTTCAGCTAGCCTCAGATGGACATCGGCAGGAATAGAAAACTCTTGCCTAAAGTACTCAAGTTTGGTCGGGGTGTCTACCCTATGTCTCCACATACCCATAACGTCGGCCTAAAATCGGAGGGCTAGGTTTCAGAAAGAAGATGCTCTAAAGGGGTTATCAGGACCTCGACAAAACCCTAGGTATATACTGGTAAGGATTGTTTCAGTTTTTTCCTAAAAATTGACAGGTTCTATAGACAAACCCCAAACCTAAATCTATGGAGGCAAAGATTGAAAGAAGGTAGAGATCTGGCAAAGACACAAAAAACAGAAAACAAAGGCGAAATTTCAGAAACAAGAACAGGGATGGGCTATCAAGAATATGAAGAATACAAAAGTAAAAGGTCAAGAACATAGGCAAGAAAAGTGTTAAAACAATGGAAGTGTTCAAAATATGAGTGAAATCATGGAATAGACGCATCCAGATCAATAGTTCAGCAAATCAAAGGTTTGAACAAAGCAATAATCACAGTAAGTAAACAAAAGCACATAGAAGAAATTGGGAGTGAGAGGAATAGAGGCTTACCAGAACAAATGAAGCCGGAATGAAAGTTGCCGAGGTAAGGCAACGGTTACAGACACGGCGGAACGGCGAAAGCTTCGCCGAGATGGAAGAATGAAGACGGTTGCAGAGCTTGAAGCTAGAGTAATGGCGGATTTGGGAAAGTTTAAGAGAGAGAGAAAGCCAAAAAATCAAGTGCAAAAGTAAAGAAATGAAGAACGAAAGTAAAGTTTTATAAAAAACTTGAAACGGTGGCAAAACAAGGCATCTATTGTGCCTGGAGGAACATGTGCATCAGACGGCGCAGACGGATGAAAGACGGCTTACAAGCGCGTCACAGACATGGGCAAATAAAGATAGAACACGTAAAGGGAACGGTTGAGAAGAGATACATGACAGCTCATGCGCGTGGGGGAATTTGTTTGAGTTCTTGTTCTCCGAAGAGAACACGTCGGCCTGAAATGAATGATCTCGGCTAAACAGTTTTTGAGCCAGATATGCAGAAAGAAATATCAATATAGGTTCCATCACCTCAGGATACCGAGGTAATAGAACCTAGGGGGCAGCTGTGGGGATATATTTTTTGAAGTACTGACACGTGGCATGGTGACGCCAACGTGTCAGCCGAGGTGCCACGTGTCGTGGTAGTTGTGCCGAGGTTATCTTGGCGAGGCCGAGGTTATCTCCGAAGATATCGGAATCCGAGATAAGCGGATAAGGGACAAGAGTCCTAGAGTAAAGAGAAGACTTTGCTAAAGATAAGGATAAAACTCTTAGGGAGTTTATCTTTATCTCTTGAGGAATCCAAAGTAAGCACTGAATTGGAGTCCATAGAAGTCAGGCTTCTAGTGGAACTAGGATTGAGTTAACTATAAAAGAGAGGCACCCCCGTGGGTTTAAGGTACGCAGTTTTATACTCAAGCTTGTGAGTGTAGCACTTGATTATCTTTGAGAGATATACTGACTTGATCGTCGGAGTGCCCCGGGTGGAAGAGCCACCGCCGGAGCCTTGTCTTTCTGTTACAGGTATGTTGAAGCCATCTATTCTGCCGGTGCTCTCCAGTTGATTATTAGGCGGGCAGTGTGGTCGGAAAATCACCCACACAAAAATATGAAAAAAAAAAGTTAAATAAAGACCCAAAAAAAACTAGTTTTTAGGTTTCAAATCCAAACGTAGACTCAAAAATTGAAAAAGCAGCCAAAATATCTTCGTAAATAAATAAAAATAATTAAATCTGAATTTTGCACACACACAAAAAAAAGAGAATAAATACCCCTCATTAGTAATTCTAGACTCAGTCAAATTAAAATGAGAGCTAAACAATATTTCTCATTAGATTCAAAAAAAAAAAAAAAAAAAAAAAAACCCCTCATTAGTAATTCTAGACTCAGTCAAATTAAAATGAGAGCTAAACAATATTTCTCATTAGAAAAAAAAAAAAAAAAAAAAAAGAAGAAAAAGAAAAAAAAAAGGTTTTATCAATACTTTTATATTACAAAATAAAAGTTTCTTTGTCAAAATTATTTTACTAGTGAAGACTAGGGATATTTCTATGAATTTTAAATAAAAATTTATAGAATAAAAAAATAAAATTTCACCATAAAGAATTATAAAAGACCCAAACTAAAAAATTTCAAACAGAAATCCTATTGTCTCAGAAAAATTATTCCAGATTTTTTTGGGTAATGTATTTGATTGGTGAAGATTTGAATTCGGGTAGTGTGAAATCTAAATATGAATAAATTTGAGGCATATATTGATATTTATGTATAAAATTCAAGGTAAAATTTTTAAATTTGTACTCCTTTCGTTTCAAAATATTAGTTCCTTATTCTATTTTTTATTGTCCTAAAATATTAGTTCCTCTTCAAAAATCAAGAACTGAAATAATATGAATTTCCTATTTTGTCCTTTTTTAAAATTCATTAACAACACAAAAAGTATAATTATGACAATTGATATTTCTTAAAAAATATACTATCAAAGGGTAATTTTAAAAAATAATTTTTTTTAAAATGCAATAATTGTACTACCAAAAAAAAGTTAAATTTTCCAAAATAGACTATTATTTTAAGACAGATGGAGTAATATGAATGTTTCTCAAATAAGATAGCTACCTCTGTGTTTACATAGACAAATGAAAGTGAAATGATTATAATTTACATGTAATATTTTATCTTATTAATTTATTGAGCTTTTATTGATAAATTCCATATAGAAATGTTCTAATTCAAGAAGTCAATGAATGAATTTTTTAACCCACTTAGTACCATATATTTATACTTTTATTCCATAAAGTCATTTTTCTTGATTTATATTATTTTCTTAGACTCTTATACCCTTATATTAATATTGATATTTAATGTTAATATTTAATGTTGGGGGAGGAGAGAGAAGAGAAAGGACCAAGGCATAAGAAATTTCATACACAAATTAAATAATATTGATATTATTTTTTTATGTTATTATATAATGTGAATATATTTTTAATTGAAAACACATTAAAAATAATATGAACATTCTCTCTCTCTGATGTGAATATATTTTTAATTGAAAACACATTAAAAATAATGTGAGCATTCTTTCTCATCTGATGTGAACGTTCACAATATCTTTCCAGAAAATTCTCTCTCTCTTCTAATATAGTGATGTGAACGCTCACAACAAGTGAATTTTCTTATTTTTAATTGACAACACATTAAAATAACATTCATTATATTTTTAATTGATAACACATTCTTATTCACAATATGTAATGATGTGAACATTCACAACATGTGAACATTCTCTTTCATCTAATATAGTGATGTGAACATTCACATTCGTATGTTTTAGTATGAATATTCACATGTAATTAACAACATAATGACAAAAATTCATTTCAAATTAATGAAAATATAATGATGTGAATATTCATTTCAATTGCATGACGTGAATATTCATATCCTGTAATTGACAACACAATGACAAAAATTCATTTCAAATTAATATGAATATGATGATAATCAACATCTTGATGCATGAGAACTAGTAAAACGTAATGACAATCAACATTAATAGGGAATAGGAGAGATTAAGGGTGTTTTGGTCTTCTTACTTCAAATAGGACCTAATGAAATAATCAAAAATAATATGGGTAAGATGGAAAAAAACTCTTAAAAAGAGAATTTATCAAAAAAAACTTCCTAATTTATTTAGTATTTTTTTTTTTTTTGGGTGTGTTTTTTGTAATTTCAACCCACCTCTAACTCCCTTGCCGAACGTCAGGTTAGTGACGAGAGCAAAATAGGAGTTAACTAGTTGTCATCAATATTTCAGTGTCTTTAGAATAAAGAAGACTCACTATTTGGATAATCTATGGTGTAATTTGGATATTTCATCAACCTATAGTAATTTTTGTTTTGGTTGGCTGGTCAAATGCATAGCTTTCAAAGGCCCTAACTTGCATTATTACACTAAAATGAGGACAAAAACCATAGGTTAATCAATCAATATCACATGGCACTCGTTGGTCGTTTATTATTGTAAAATTGAGCAAGAGGGTTCACATTCACATTGTATGATACAGTCTACAGTGACTAAAATAAGACACGTCAGGGTGATGACAACTTTAT